ACAGGTGAAATGGAAAAAATACCCAGCATATATCTCATGGCATAGTTCTGAGAATTAAACTGAAAGTATGCAAATTGCTTAGGACCAAAAAAAAAAAAAAGGTAGCAATTATCAGTCTTGTTTCATCCCAATTGTCTTTCAGGGGAATTTAGTCAATAAATAAAGTCTTTATTGAATACCTGGCATAGACTACTTCTATGATTATACTCCTGTGATGCTAACTGAGCTAGCAGGCAATGACATAGGACAGTAGTGAAGGAATTCACTCGGTATTAGGCTGGTTTGGTTTCTTGTCTCTACCACTAACTAGCTGGGTGACTGTAAGCTCCCTGACCTTGCTTCAGTTTCATTTCTGAAAGATGGGATAATATCACATGACCCAGTCACAACAGAGAGGCTGGTAGGAGATTTAAACAAGATTGTGTAAATAAAGCATTTAGTACAGTGCCTGGAACAAAGAACACTGTTTTGTTTTTGTTTTTTTTTTAGCTGAGCCATCCTGCCACCGTTGGCAGCTCAGCGGCTGCCCAGCTCGGGCCGGGACTCGAACTGCTGTTGCTCAGAGCTCACATTCTTGAGCGAGATCTTAACCAACTGAGCCACTTGGTCAGCCCTATAAAGAACACTCTTGATTTTAGTAAGGCTGGTTCAATATTGATGGTATTATTTGTTAATCAGTTTAACCTAACCTCCCCCTCTGCACCGAGGGTTAGGTTGGGTCTAAAGACCTTTCCCCCTAGATTTCATACAGGTCCAGCTGATGATAGCGTCTCACTTATCTAGGCTGACATCATAAAATTAAAACCCTTAATGGAAAACTGGCCTTAGACATTGCTTGGAAGATATTTACTGTGGTTACTATGAAATAATTCACTTTGGTAGAAGATGGATGGTAATTATTCTTTATGTGTTTTCTTTTAGTATCCCAACCCCATGGATAAAAATGTCATCTCTGTAAAAACCGTGGAGGAAAAAAGAGGCAAGTTCTCTGAATATACCTTACTTCAGTGGTGATCATCAAGTGATGCTGATTTGTGTAAAGATGTGTGTGTTTGTGTGTGTGTGTGGCCTATTATGTTTTAAACAGGTATATTTCTGTATTTGAGATGATTGATAGTAAGGAGCACCCAGCATTTATATGAAGTGAAGCCTTGCCTAATATGCTGTTGTTACTTTGTCAGTTAATAATTGATGACAGTTATAACAGCTAACATTTTGGAGCGCACAATATGTGCCAAGAACTTTTTCGTTTATTAATTAGTTTACTCTTCAGAGCAATGTATGGAGTAGGTATTATTATTACTCCTATTTAATGAATGAAGAGATGAAGGTACAGAGAGGTTAAATAACTTGCCCAAGGTCACATGGCTATATCCCCCCATAATATATACATATGTAATTTTATAGATGGCAAAATAGATGTGATTAATAGCATGTATGTGAGATGTGACTGTAAAGTGATTAAATTATGGAGTCATAACTATACTTAATATGGTTCAGTACTGACTAAAGGAGAGGTTGACAAACTGCTTGTGCGGCCTGTTGTTGTAAATAAAGTTTTATTGGCACACAGCAATGCCCATTTGCATACATATTATCTATGGCTGCTTCCTTGTGACAACAGCAGTGTTGAGTTGTTGCGATGGAGCCTGCATGGCTCACAAAACCTAAAATATTGACCCTCTGGCCCTTTACAGAAAATGTTTACCGACCCCTGGGCTAAACCATAGGAGTCTTCATTGTTCTCTGTCATTCACATCGCCTGCGGAAGCATTTTCACTGTCAGTATTTGAACCTGAGAACTGGGCAATGCAGGAAGCTGTCATGATGCACAAAATCAATGTATGAACATTTGCAGACAGCCAGGCCCAGGTCTAACATGTTCTTGAGCCTTCTGAGTAAACGTATGAGATGCTACTGTTTACGTGACTCTGAGGTCTTCTCTGTGCTTGGTGAGCACAAAACTTGTCTTTTGCTTGTGAAAATATTTTTTGCCCTTCCATAACTCTATAAATATATTTTAAAAAACATTTTCGCAGGTACTTGCCCTTGGTGTGGGAGAAACTTGTCATTTGTCATCAGAGAAATCTGATTTTGAGTCTTTATTTTGTTACTATCTGTATGACCTCACTTCTTTTTTTTTTTTAATTAAATTATTTTTTATTATGAAATACAATGACCTTATTTCTTGGAGGCTTAGTTTTTTCATCTGTTAAATGGGAAATTAATAATCCTGCTTTTAGATTGTGGTGAAGATCAAAAGAGAGAACAGTATGAGTATTCCCAAGGGGTGTAGGAACGTTAATTATGGTTTCTGCCATTGACAAGGGCACCTTAGCCTCCAGCAGTGGCTAATCCATTTTAAGTATGTGTGCTGTAAACACTGGATGAGATAGCTGAAGGAGTGCCAATGGACAGAGGAGACTTTCTCCCCCTGTCAACAGCTTCTGAACAGCCAGGTGTTTGCCCCAAGGTTCAGGGCTCCTGTAGCCAGAGCTCTGGGAAACCTTGCAGCAAGAGTGTGGCTGAGTCACGGTCATTCACAGAGCAAAACACAATGCTTCCAAGTTTATTTTTTTCTCTAACTTGATCTTCCTTTTTTTTTAACTCACATTTACTGAGTGTTTTTCACACCTGGTGCTATTGTGGAACCTTCCAAAACAGAATGGCTGCAGTCACAGGCAGTCTGCTCCCCTATGAAAGAAGAATCTGCCTAATATAATTAATTATAGGTTTAAATTTTGTAGCCCGAAACCTGTGCTTGAAAACATGTTTGGTGCAGAAGGTGGGAGAATCAGACTCTCCGTTTTTTTGTTAAAACCTTCTCTTTGTTGGGGTTGAGCAGGAGGCTTGTTGGCCCTTGTCATTGCAGTGTTGACACCGATGGTCCATAGCAGTGAACAATTTGGGATTCTTTTAACCTCGACTTTAGATTGTGAAGTGTGAGTAGCTTTTTTACCCTTATTCCTCAATCACAGACAAGTATGTTTGGAGTGATTTGCCCCAGGAAAGTGGTCAGGGACCCTGAGTTTTGAGTTAAATATTTTCTCTAGGAATTCTACATACAGAAAATTGAGATTGACATTAAAAGTTTTATTGACTTTTAAGACATGAGTACATTTTCTTCAATTCTTTTTTGAGTGTAAACATTTTCTGTTTCCAGATGTGTCAACAGGGATCATCTATAGAAAGAGGATTGCAATCTGTCAGAACGTGGTCCCAGAAATTTTAAGGAAGGTAAATTTTTTTCAAATTCAGCTTTGGTGTAACATTGGGTCATTTTCAAAGAGCCGTGAAAAGAGCACTTTCTGGTGTAAAGTGTTAGAACTTCCCCAGTTCTCTACCTCACATCCCTTCAGAGGAAGAAAGGTCTGCCATACCCAACTGCAGTTTTGGCAGATGCCACCACACATAGTTTTTTCCTGCCTGTTTCTGTCTCTCTTTCTCTAGTGTGGAGATTTCTTCGTGGACCTAGAGATGGTCTACAATTATTTTAACGATACCTTGGATATTTTACATGAAGTGGCCATCTTTTCTAATCTGTCCGTGGTTAGATATGACCCTTCAATAACCACGATCAGAAGTAGGCCAATGGTAAACGTTGAGTCAGAGCTTTAGTCAGGAATATAAAAGCTTCGGTTTCTATTTCACTGTCAGAACAGTTATTTCAGGAAGTAAAATGTTCTCAGTGCTCTCCGTTAAGGCTTTGTGTGTATGTTTCTGTAAAGTAATGGCATTGATGACGAAATCTTCATGATTGCGCATTGTTTTCTCTCTTTGAAATCCTTAAGCACACTGGTGATTGTTGGGGAAAAGGTAAGTGGACATTTTTTAATCACATTGCTTAAACCATAGGGAAATTAGTGCCAAGAACCCTTTTAAAATCATTAGGATAAAAGAGGAGAGAGTCTTGATGCACACTTTTTAAAATGTCTCAGGTGGTGGTTTCAACCTGGAAGTGGTTCTGTGTGTGATGTGAAACCCAGCTGGACTGCCCACTAGCTTACAAATTACAATGCCGTATACTATATGTAATAAAAAATGATGGCTTCTATCATTTCCTTATCGTGGATTAAAACTCTGTCACATTCTTTATTGGAAAGAAAGCTGATAGGGCAATGAAAATGAAGTTTCTTCTATTTTCCAAATGGTAAAATGTCTTGCAGTGTGTGCAGCGAATTACTATGGGCTATTCCCACAAAGTGTGTCCCCTGCCTTTGCCCTACATACATACGTTGAATCTATTATTTAAAAAGGCATTCAACTTTGTGTTATGTCTCAATTCTTAAATAATTTAAGGACACCTCTGACTTGTACAATTCCGCCTGTGTAGTTTTCCATGTCTCTTCCACCTCGGCAAGCATACATTTCTAGGTATTGAACAAAGTTTAAAATGAAGAAAATATTTTACTCGATATCATCCTGCATGTGAGCCTGTAAGTGGACCCAATTAGAATCTATCAATTTAAGAAGGCCATAAGCAGCCCTAGAGGAGACACAGAGGAGGCTGATAATTTGCCTAGTGTTTAGCAGTTAAGGAAATCAGGCCAGGAACCACACAGCCTCCATAAATCCTGGGCCATTTGCATGTCCTCACCAGCATTTAGGAAGGTCATAGTATGTTTGATGGTCAAGCGTTCACAGCCATTGGTGAGCTATCATCCATATTTCAGGATCACTTGTCCTCTTAATTATCCAAGACTGAAAGCAATTCTGGATACATCCTTATGTAGTCTGCTCTTCCTAAATTGAGAAAGCCATCTTCCCTCTGTTGGACAGGTGAGCATTTTAAAGGTACCCAGCATCCAGTTAGAAGAGGAATCATGGCTCAATCCTCAGGAAAGAAACATGGCCATACAGAGCCACTGCCTTACGTGGACACAGTACGCATCCATGAAGGAAGAGTCTGTCTTTCGAGAAAGTATGGAAAATCCAAACTGGTAAGATCACCTCTGCATGTGTGTGCATGTATGAATATGGTGGGTGCAGGGATGCACAAATGAGCACATGTATTAGAGAGCTATGATTTCATACTTATAACCTGTGTTTACAACTCACATAGATCACACATTATTCATTTTAAATCACACAAGTAATTGATGAATACATTTCCCTTTGGGGGAAAAAATGACAGAACTCAAGTCCTATCCAATCCTGGTGCTTCTTTGTCCTCTCCGGAGACAATGCTTGTTATCAGTGTGCTGAATGTTTCTCTAGACCTTTAAGAGATGCCTTTAGGTACTTACATATGTACTCAAAGAGGCTGTATAGTATAGTTTTGTATATCTTTTTTACATCTATGCTTTCATTCTGTGTAAGTCATAGTGTACTTATCTTTTTTGCTTAATAGAATGTTTCTAAACTGAATCCATTTGTTATATATAAATATATATATATATATATATATATACATATATATATATATATAATATTACACTCCTTTGAACTGTTGCATTGTTTTCAACCCTATGATTATTATTATACTATATTATTATACTATGTTATACTATATTATATATTATCATATACATATGATTGTACTATTCAGGTTTTCCTTTTGATAGACATTCAGGTGGTTTCCAACTTCTTTTTATTACGAACAGTACTGCAATATTTGTAAGGCATATGATCCTTGCAAATGTTCTGTGTAAATATTTCTCTAAAGGAGAGCTTTTAATTCTCAGGTTTATCAAGGATATTATTTACATATAATAAAATTTATTCTTTTTAGTGTACAGTTCTGTGAGTTTTGACAAACACATATACAGTTGTGTGACCACTGCCACAATCAAGCTATAGAATATTTAATGTATATGCATATTTTAAAAAGTGATATGCCAAGACAGTTCTTTGGGGGAAAGAATATTCTTTTCTTTTCAATAAATGGTGCTGGCACAACTGGATATTCACATACAAAAGAAAGAAGTTGGATCCCTACCTCACCCCAAATGCAAAATTAACTCAAAATGGATCAAAGACCTACATGAAAGGGTTAAGACAATAAAACCCTTAGGAGAAAACATAGGTGTAAATCTTTGTGATCTTGAATTAGGCAGTGGTTTCTTAGATATGACACCAAAAGCCCAATCAACAAAAGCAAAACTAGGTAAAATTGACTTCATCAAAATTAAAAACTTTTGTGCTTCATATGATACTGTCAAGAAGCTGAAAAGATGATCCAGAGAATGGGAGAAAATATTTGCAAACCTTATATCAGGTAAGGGTATAGTATCTAGTCCTTTCAGAATATTTAGTCCTTTAGAATATATCAAGGACTGTTACAACTCAGTGATAAAAAGACAACCTAATTAAAAAAATTGACAAAGGATTTGAGTAGGTAGCTCTCCAAAAAGATATACAGATGGCCAATAAGCACATGAAAATAATGCCCAACATAATTTGTCATTAGGAAAATACAAATCAAAACCACAATGACATACCACTTCAAACCTGCAAGGATGGCTATAATAAAAAAGGCACACAATAACAAGTGTTGGAGAGGATGTGGAGAAATGGGAACCCTCACACACTGCTGGTGGGAATGCAAATGGTGTAGCTGCTGTGGATAACATTTTGTCATGCCTCAAAGAGTTAAACAGAGTTACCACTTGTGCCAGCAATTCTACCTTGTTTTGAAATATGTCCACACAACAACTTGTACAGGAATGTTCATAGCACCATTATTCATTAATAGGCAGAATGTAGAAACAGATGCCTATCAACTGATGAATATACAAACAAGTGTATTATATTCATACAATGGAATATTATTCAGCCATAAAAACAAATGGAGTGATGACTCACATTAAAACATGAATGAAGCTTGATAACATTATGACAGCTGAAAGAAGCCAGTTACAAAAGGCTGCATATTATTGACTGAGTCAGTTTATTTGAAATGTCCAGAATAGGCAAATCTATAGGGATAGAAAGTAGGTTTGCTACCATGGAGGGAAAAATGGAGAGTGACTGCTAATGGGTGTGGAGCTTTCTTTTTGGGGTGATGAAAATGTTTTGGAGCTGGTTTTGATGGTCACAGAAGTCTGAATACACTAAAACCACTGAATTGTGTCCTTAAAAGTGTGAAGTTTGAGGTATGTGAATTATATCTCAATGAAAGAAAGTTACATGGCTGGTTCTCAGGACATGCATATTTTTAGTTTACACAGATTCTGTCAAATTGTCTTCCAATGTGTTAATACATTAATTTACATTTTCATCAACATGAGCGTTCATGTCCCTGCAATATTGCCAGCATTTAATATTAACACACTTTTAAAAAATTTTTGCCAGTGTAATGGGTGAGAAATGATCAAGTTGTTTGAGATAGGTTTAAAACCAAAGCAACATAACAAGCACCAAATGTTAATGGTGATTATTGCTGTGAGCTGTGAGTTCAGAGGATAATTTACTGTGTTTTTTGGTATTGTATATATGGTTTGAATTTTTTATGATGCATGTATCATTTTCATGGAAATAATTAGGCCCTCAAAACTCAACTAAGTAAAAATAAAAAACCTGGGCACCCCGACAGAAATAATTGGAGAATACTAGTAAGGAGGGGCACTGCACATTTTTCCTCTTCACATTTCCTCTTCACCAGCGCACCCACTGCCTGTCTTATGCTTTGGAGTAATAGGAACTTACGTCTGGATATAAATTCAGGGATAGCTCCGCACCAGGGGCGAGCCTCCCAAGGGACAGGAACCAGGAACTGGAAGGCCAGCGGGAGCTAGGGCAGCCCTGTAATCTCTTATCTCTCCATACCCTGGCTCATTTGTCCAACAGCCTGCAGATCCGCGTTATTCACACAGCCGACCTGGCACCTGCAAACCTGCGGGCTCTCGTGTCCTGACCAGACTCTTGAGTTAGAATCCCACCTCTGCACTATAAGTATATTATGCCCTTGCACAATTTACCTCACTTCTCTAAGCCTCAGTTTCCTCATCAGGGGAATGACATCCCTACCTCAGAGGGTTGTGGTGACCATGAAATGAGATAGTTCATGCAGAGAGCTTAGAACAATTCCTGCCCTTAGTGGTCAATAAATGTTAATCTTTGGTATCATTACCTGTATTGTGGCTGTTATCATAATCTTAAAGATTCACATGATGCTAATCTTTAGCATGCCTTATTTTGGTCTAGAAAACAGTGTTCGTAATTGTTTACCATGACGCTGCAGGAAGACGTCCCATGTTGTGGTTTTGAGTTCCCTCAGCACGCCATCTCTGGGGAGACGCACTCCTCCTTTGGAGAGTCACGGGAGGCGGAATCCTTCTATTTTTAGATCCACAGTGAGATTTAAGCACCGGAGAGAAGAGCATCCAGAGGTCAACGCAAGCGTTTGGCTTGGACAGAATTCCCTGTGTTTTGGCTCATGCTGTGAGTGTGGCTGTTGTGGACCCAGGTGCTCTGAGGGACTGCCTCAGTTTCCCAAATCAGAGACGCTGGGCTGAGGCATGGCTGTGCCTTAGGACATTTGGCCAAATCAGAACGTAGAAAAGAGAGACTTAATCCAAAATAAAAATGAAAAGTCAGCTCTTGTGGGAATGTGCTTTATGTACTGTGTAGAGCAGGACACAGCATTTCCTTTTGGAAGTGGAGGATGGAGTCGACTGTTTTAGAGTTCTCAGAAGGATAATCACAGTTTCTGCCCTCTGAAACTTTGAATCCCAAGATAAGCTTATTAATTTCTTACTATTTTGTGATTGCTTCTATTCTTTAAAATATATTTGTTTTTGGTTCATTTCCTTATTTTTATTGTATTAGGTGGGAATATAATTGATATGCATTTGATTTGATTTGTTTTTAATAGTGGACATTTACCTTATCCAAGTAGTGGAATTCTAAAAGGTAATCATCTTGTAAAGGTGTTTTCTTGGGCTTTGCTCTTTCGCCAAGTTANAATGTTAATCTTTGGTATCATTACCTGTATTGTGGCTGTTATCATAATCTTAAAGATTCACATGATGCTAATCTTTAGCATGCCTTATTTTGGTCTAGAAAACAGTGTTCGTAATCGTTTACCATGACGCTGCAGGAAGACGTCCCATGTTGTGGTTTTGAGTTCCCTCAGCACGCCATCTCTGGGGAGACGCACTCCTCCTTTGGAGAGTCACGGGAGGCGGAATCCTTCTATTTTTAGATCCACAGTGAGATTTAAGCACCGGAGAGAAGAGCATCCAGAGGTCAACGCAAGCGTTTGGCTTGGACAGAATTCCCTGTGTTTTGGCTCATGCTGTGAGTGTGGCTGTTGTGGACCCAGGTGCTCTGAGGGACTGCCTCAGTTTCCCAAATCAGAGACGCTGGGCTGAGGCATGGCTGTGCCTTAGGACATTTGGCCAAATCAGAACGTAGAAAAGAGAGACTTAATCCAAAATAAAAATGAAAAGTCAGCTCTTGTGGGAATGTGCTTTATGTACTGTGTAGAGCAGGACACAGCATTTCCTTTTGGAAGTGGAGGATGGAGTCGACTGTTTTAGAGTTCTCAGAAGGATAATCACAGTTTCTGCCCTCTGAAACTTTGAATCCCAAGATAAGCTTATTAATTTCTTACTATTTTGTGATTGCTTCTATTCTTTAAAATATATTTGTTTTTGGTTCATTTCCTTATTTTTATTGTATTATGTGGGAATATAATTGATATGCATTTGATTTGATTTGTTTTTAATAGTGGACATTTACCTTATCCAAGTAGTGGAATTCTAAAAGGTAATCATCTTGTAAAGGTGTTTTCTTGGGCTTTGCTCTTTCGCCAAGTTACCACCATCAGTAGAGACTCCCTCTGTTCATGATGTTGCAGAGCTGGGTCTTTTTGCTTTTGAGTAACAAGGCCATTCTCCCATACACAGCAGTGAACATCCTCTCCTTGTTTAAGAGTTTCAGCTTATCCACTGGTGTTTACAAACCGGATTTCTGAGATTTAAAAATGCTCAGCCTA